TATATATATATATTCTTAACTATCATTTACCTTTATGTTTTTAATTAACAGTCTTGTTAAGAAGAGAAAAAATTATTAAGAAACAAAACATTTAGCCATCAATGTGCTCAAATTCTCATAAATTAGCTTGCCTTTAAATAATAAAAAATAAATAAAGTAGGCCTAATTGAAAATCTGTTTTAATACAAGTTTTTAGAGCTGAGATGGAAAGTATTGAGAAAAACAATGTGAGGATAGGGCCTGCTGGTTTGTACACAGACCTCAAGGGAGTGTTGGAAAAGAAGGCAAAAGGGAGCGTAAGAGATAAAGTGAAGAAGAAGGAAAAAAAAACAAAGAACAGAGAAGTAAACAGAGGGGAGGAAAAGGAAAAAGGAAAAGAGCTCGCTAGGAGTCTCGAGCTTTTGGCTGCATTTGTTATCAGTTTGCACAGAAATGTCAGAGCACTGTGACATTCTTCCCTACAGCTTCCCCTGCTGCCCAGCCACCACTCAGCACTGTGTAACACACACCACGCTGCTACACATAACACACACTGTGGGAGAGCACTTATATATGTGCACAACCTGCGTGTGAAAAGATAATATGGTATATTTGCTCAATTATGCTTTTGCTGAATGCAATTATTCAAAAAAAAAATCAAATTATAAGATAAATTGAGCCACTGAGGATAACAATTAAGTTTTTTAAAGTTGAAATAATTTGTCGAAAGAGCTTCCCCAATAAATTCAAGCAAATTGGATTCAAGTATAAAAACCTGGTGCAGTTTTACACTTTATAGCTAAAAATAAATAATTACCAAATAACTTCCAGAAGAGTTTGTTTTTGTCCTGAGATCCAAAGGAGAAAGTTTGATTTTAGAAGAGAATTTGCAAAAACTACACTAAATTGATCAGACATCAGAACTTTTAAGCAATTTAGGAACCAGAAAAAAAAGCAATAAGCTGTTAATAATAATAATAATGTAATTGATTTATAATAATATTTAAAATTGAGGATAGTGTTTGCACTTTAAATAATATATGTGTCTCATTTGTAGATAAAGGTTGATATTAGCATGGCCATATGCAATTTTTGATTTATTTAGGATTTTACAGAAATATTTCTCTTCTCCCTTTTCATCCAGAAGAATGTCATTTTATCCAGCTTTGTTAGATGTGTTTTTCTGTCGTATAACAAGTGAAATGAATGAAGAAATGAAGAATTGATAATATCAGAAAACCTGCTGATGTCCTGTTTATTTACTGCACAGTGGATTATGTGTTGGAATCCTAACCCTAAGATAAAAAAGGAAATTGTATCAATAATTCTGTATAATTATAACCACTGTTTTAATTTTATTGATAGAGACCTATGATTGGATTTGGATGCCTCCCTTCAGAGGTTTTCTGGACATGTCCCACTGGAAGGAGACTCTGGCTATATTCCCTCTGGCTGGAGGGAATATATATCCTCTCTGGCCTGTAAATGCTTAAAGATCCCCCAGGAGGAACAGGATGGTGTGGCTGGTGGCTAGAAGGTCTAGGTATCCCTCCTGGACTTAGATAACTGACGGATGACGGATGCAGGGGCGGAGGTAGATTGTTTTTTAAGATTTGGCACGAGGGGTGGCCAAGCTAACTTGGATTAGAAAATTGGATGGATTGATGGATGGATGGATGGATGGATGGATGGATGGATGGATGGTTGGTTGGATGGATGGATGGTTGGTTGGATGGATGGATGGAGTACTACAAATGATTTACCGATACTGTCGACTGAATAGCAACGTCATATCTGTCTTACTCTATTGTTACCGGCTTAAACAAAAGACTTTAAAGAATATTACTACTGACCAGCAAATCCACAGAAAATCATCAGATTGTTAGAAAAGATTTTAATGATCAAAGACACATCCCTGAGGCTAAACTGACATGTTGACTAAGTAGAATGTTTAGTACACAGATTCGCAGGCAAACGCAAAAACCTGTCAGCCCTCTGAGCTGCAGTCTTATCTCATCTCTAAGCTCAATTAGGTCTGGCATCCATGGAAACTAAAGAACAAAGACGCTGTCAGATCACACCACACTGAAAATGACATTTAACTTGATTTTTTTTACATATTTCTTGTTATGACAGTTCGAACTTATGAAAGCACATTTTTTTATTTGTTTGAGGTATATTGTTTTTAAAATGATGTCCCATCATATAACTGCATGTAAAACCAATTTTAATCTGATCAAAGTAAGCAGCAAAAAGAGACAGAATGAGATATAATCCAGATTGGATATCCTTCCAGTAATGAAAAATGACTTTTTAAAAAAAATGGTGCCGAGCTTGCAGAAGTCAAAGTTAAGTTGTCAACAGACAGAGCTACAACTATCTGATGATTCGGGTGTTTCATGAGATTTCAAACCGGGCCAAACAATATTTAAAATATGCTGGAATTTGTTGTATTTCTGATTTGCTACTTGAAGAGATAGTTTGCAGTCTTACAGCAAAACGTACTGGTACATATATACAGTACATATTATATATTTATGACACGTGAGCTTCATGCATAAAAGCGCTCCATGAATATAAGCATAAAATTCAAACTGAAATCAAGAAATGATGAAGATTAAACATAACAGCAAGAAATGTGGGCATTTTATTACAGTGAGAATAAAAGATAGATTCCTTATTTGCAGTCAATTTCAATGGAACACCAAAATACACACTTAACTGAATCATACTAAGACTGCACACATTTCTAAACCTATACTTTTGTGTAAGAATGCATTCTTTCTCATGTATATGTTTGGAAAAATAAATTGTCCTAGCATCTTACACACTGTATGTTCAGCATGAATTAGCCAGCTGTTGGAAACGTCTTTGTGTTTGTTTGTGCAGCTCTTTTCTGCCTGTCTACTGAGCTCTTTCATCTGTGAAGCTCCGCTGGTGATTAAGGTTTTCTGTGGTAATGATGTTAGAGCAAACACAGCAGGCTGCATTACAGAATCTGTAGTGTATTGGTTTTAATTTCATGTGTTTTTCAATTGTACTACAGTACATCCAGTAAAAAGGATTTCTAAAAAACAACCCTGTGCGTATGAAGAGCTCTGCTCTTATAGGGACAATGACAAGGACTTAAGAGGCTTTTTATTAAAGGAATCAGAGGAAACTTCTTTTCTGTGAGCAACAGCAACACAAAATGAAAATCAGCTGAGTCTTTACTAATTTAATAATCAGCCCCATATAGTGCAACTAGAAGAGCTGGAAGCACCGTGTGAGTAAGAAGAATACTGTTCAGCAGGTGGCAAGACAAATCACCTCAGTGCAGTTTGTCCTCAAAAGTTGAGAGGATTAAAAAAAAAAGAAAACTCTACTAAGATGGTTGCTTTTTCTATTAAATAAAAACAGAAGACTCAAACTTGAATCTGATTTCTACACAGTTCTCACCTAAACATCCTGTTTTATTATCATGTCATTGTACCCTGCAGGACTGTTTCCACAGTATAGCTGTATACTGATAAAAAAATAAAAATAAAATTACTGTACATTTTTTTTAGCTTGTTGACATATTTAACTGCACACAATGCCAGATTGTATAAAGCTGTCAGAAGCCCCCAGAAATAGAAAGACTGTACTTTTAATTTGCATGAATTCACACTGAAGTTCTAAAAGAACAGTTGTCACAAGTAAAAATGACTCCATTTACTCAAAACACTTCCATTAACAGAATGAGAGAAAGTGAGAAAAAAATCAGGATTTATTGTAGATTTATAATTTCCACAGGAGTCTCTCTCTGTCAGCTGATCCCCAACACAGACCGGTTTCACACAAAACAACTGTTCAGCAAATAATTCCTGAAGCAAAGCTTATTTTAGTACTCATTTGTGACAGGGTTAGCTTGCATGTTTGCTAGTATGTGAAAAAACACAGGAAGGAAAAATAGACATAAGTGGTCTAATTTCCAAAATAAAATATTCTGCAGAGCTGTATTTAGATTTTATAATTATATCAAATTATATACATTTTATAACATGTGTTTTATTATTTCTGTGCAGTCCAGTTCTGAATGATCCATTGGCCTGTATCAGTAGTCAGGGGACCCTGCTCTACATTTTAATCAACTACACATATGGGAATATGTTATGCCTTCACACAAAACAGATTCAAAGCACATTTAGAATGACTTCCAGGTGACATTGCTGCAGGGAAACACGAATAAATCACTAAGTAGAAAATGCAGCTAAGATCCTTAGTGTTTATACACCCGCTTCAGATGTTATCATCCATTAAATGGATGTTTAGCCATTATCAGTCCCATAGAATGGCTCCAGACTGACTTCAAACTGTCCCGACTGTGCCGCCTTGTTAATATGAGGCATAAAGCCACTAAGGTTCATTTTAGAGAAAATGATATTGGCTACGATAAAGTAGACCAGACTCTGGCAGTAGCAGATTGTTGCGTTCCAACGTCTATGGCACTGGTAACCCACTAGGGGGCACTTTGGGGACAGTCTGAAGCCATTCTATGGAACTGATAACCACTAATAATGTCCATTTAATGGACTGATAACATCCGGACCGGACCGGTGTGTTTGTAGCTAAAACAGAGTAAGAGTTTTCCTGTAATATGCAAATGTAAATTTTATCAGGACTTTTAGKAAATACATTTTACTGCAAAGGACATTTATGCAGTTTTTCCTTAATGTTTAAAAATTTTGCATTCACTTCATATAGTCCTAAAACTTGTTTTGATTTGTATTATATACCCGTATGGTCATGTTGTGTATCTGATAGTATATCTTATGTAACACAAGCGTAAATGTGATGCTGATTATTCAAACTAGAGTGCATTCAAACTTCCCAGGTCTGGATTCAAATGGAAATGCAATCAGTACAACCTGAGCACAGATCAGAGGACATCTTTGTGTAGCTATCATAGTGTGAGAGATGAGGCTGTTCAACTAACTCCAATAAAAATAAAAAAACTCAGTTCTTTCCAGAGTGCTTCAACAGAAAAAAAAATCACCTACCTGTAGGAGATCCCTCGAGCACCTCTCCCGTGTAGCGTGATTCTTTGAAGATGGGCCGGTTGTCATTTTGGTCAATGACAGTGATCACCAGTATGGCGGGTCCCTCAATGATGTTTCCAGAAAAGTCTGTGGTGGAAACTTCCAGCTGTGTGCATGAAAGGAGAGAAATTGTATCATTTTCTCTAAATAATTTGAAAAACATTGAAAATTGAATAGATACGTTTTTCATCCTGCTCTAAAGATAACCCAATGCAAAGACAACAAATTGACAGATGCTTGACAATTTAAAAACAACAAAACATTAATTTTATTTGCCTTTATTAGAGATGTTTCCAAAATAGAAAGTACGTCTTGGCGAGAAAGAATAGGCAAAACTGCATTTATTGTATAGTATGTGTGAGGTTTACATAATGTTTAAAAAATATCTGCAAAGACCTCCATTTTTGAGAAAGATTTTAATTTTAACTTAGTTCAGAATCTGTACTAGAATTTTATGAATAAAATAACAACAAAGAACCCTCAAACATCAGGACACCRTGGCAGATTAGAAAGTAACAATGTAAAAAACAAAACAAACTGGGATCACAGAGAGGGCACAAATAATAAGTGACAAATCATTTTTAATTTTACTTTTCAGTCAGTCCACTTAGAGTCTGCATACCCTTCAAAATGTCATAAATAAATAAGTACTATTAATTTACTCTAAGCCAGTTATGAGGCCTTGTGCCCTTGCAATGCAACAGAAAGCCCAGACCATGATGACACATACTGTCTTCTTCTGCAAATAAAATGAGCAGTGAATTGTGCCTTAAATAAAATATCTGATGCAGTCTATATGCGAGAGTTACTTAGTTTACTTAGTTCTACTTTGCAACTGATTATAAACTTTTTCCCCAGCTTTAAACTGGGATTTCATCAATCTTTATAAATTATCCCATAACCTCAATGTCCTACAGAAAAAAAAAAGACACTTTCATTCTTCCGAACTCGTTTCTGCCTCCTTCACTTTGTCTGCTGCACTGAAGGATTCTCTGTTGGCCTTCATCATACATATATTAATGCATTCAGTTTCTCCAGCTATGCGGTATTTCTAGTTGTTCCCGCACTCACCTTAGGGACCATGCCAGCTTAGCAGATTGAAGTTAAAACATGCACAATACCCATTCTACAAACAAGCAGCTATTAACCYGGAGTGAAACAACCTTGTCCTGTTTAGTCAGCAAACCTGATCCTGTTTTATTAAATATATATGTATGTTTCTACCTGAACAGCAGTAATGTTGGGTTCTATGCAGCAAATTCTATTAAATATTAATGTTAAAATGAAGACTCTAAACTTCCAGTTTTCACAATCTTGAGGGTTCATTTGGAACTATTTTTATAACTTATTACAGACAAAACATGCATCACAAACAGTTACTTTTCTTGTTTTATAGACTTTTTTAGATTTTGAGATGAAACATGATTTTTTTTATTTGATTTACAGACTTGGCTGCATGTTCTGCTGTTTCAATCTGATAAAAAATATACAGTATATGTAATAATTTAATTTAGGTTTTTATCTACAGTTATTAAGATTACTTTGTTTCCTTTACTTTGTTAGCTTTGCTGCAAGGCTTCATCAGAGGCCGTGCATGTTTGCCTTTTATCTTTACCATCACATTAGCCGTGGTTCTTCTTTCTATAAGTRATGTGAGGGGCTACCAAACCTCTCTATCACAGAGGTCATCCTTCTTCTTTTCCACTATCTCACCACCCTGACTTTGTCTTTGTCCAACTATCTCTCTGTCACCGTGGTGAATGGACCATAAATTCTAATGGCTATAATGACATGTGCAGCTGAACAAAGTGTTTTAGGTGTAAAGGGCCTAATGRTTTGATATATCATCTCATCCCTCTTTCCTCTCTCTGCCATGAGAATATACCTAGGGAGGCTTTTAATGAGGGAAACAGTTTCCCATTCAGTCAGTTCCCAGCAGAAATGCTGACTCTCAACCAACGATGCTCGYGACTCTATGTCTATTTACATTCTATGGCTCGCAGCAAGGCTCATATATACTAAAATAAGCACTATATGACTGAGTTACTTATATTGGGATTTGTTTGGCAAAAGATTTAAAATCCTTTGGCAGCAGGCATGCCTAACCCTCACTCTCACATTCATTTAGTTTCACTATTAAATCTGCACCTTCCTTTGTTTTTTTGGTTGGTTACTCAGTTTCGCTGAGTTGTAAAGAAAACTTTATGTAAGTAGTGTGAAAAAACTGAAAGAACTGAAATTTATTTTTGATAGAAGAAAAATCAAATCTATATTGTTTCATTGAAAAAAAAATCCCTAAACATGGATATAAAAGAAATCAGCAGACGCTAATTAGCCATTCAGAGAGTATGCTTTGTCTCACATGAACAATGAGTTAGATTCATGTTCTTTGATTTCTCCAGTGCCTTTAACATCCTCCAACCAGGTCTTGTGAGAGTCTCTGACAGTGATGAGGGTGGACCCACACCTGGTTTGATGGATGACTGACTGACAGGGTGTTGAGCAACAATAAAGTGCTGCAGATCATTGTGCTTTCGCTCATTTTGTTCATCCTGTCCACTCCTGTCTTATGGCTTCAGTACGGTTRCTCTGCAGCCAACTGGATGACACACGGTCACGTGATTGTTTAGCRTTCATTTTCGMACACACTTTGCATTGCTCTGAGACACACTGCACCGAGCTCTTGGGAAACCAACCCCTCCAGCTGTCACGTCGTATTCTTCTCCTGCTGGAGTCTACAATGCAGGAAAAAGAATGTGCCGAAATGTGGACAATGCATACAGAATGACGCGATTTTTGTCAAGAAAATGTGACAGCATACTGCGCACTTTACAGTGCAATTCTGAGCCCAGGAATGTCCAGAACAATGCTAATCATACAGAAATTATTGGTTTCATCAGGACCGAACAAGAGCTTGAACCAAAATATTGTGAAGTGGGGCAGGGCCAATTTGAGACGCCAAGTTCACAACAATGTATCTAATGGCAAAAAAAAAAGTGGAATTTGCACAAGTTTACTTAAAAAAATAGTTGAAATGATAGTTTGATTAGAATGAATTCATGATTTTATTCATCTAGATTACCCTGTAAAGTTGCTCCAGAAACTGTAACTATAGTTTATATAATCGTTAATAAATGTTTTATCAATTAATTTGTGTTTTATTGAGCAATATGTGCTTTTAATTATTTTGAAGTGTTTACATGACTTTTTATTGTTGTTTGTGGTCTATTAATTGTAGAAGCAGCTTTGTTTGGCATACATTGTCCAAAACAAGCTTCCCCCTTGGGGACAATAAAGTATCTATCTATCTATCTATCTATCTATCTATCTATCTATCTATCTATCTATCTATCTATCTATCTATCTATCTATCTATC